TGGGCTTGGAAGGTGCTGTCTGAGGATCTTTGGTGAATTTCTGCAGTGCATCTTGTAGATAGTACACATTGATGGTACTGAGCATTGAGGGTGGAGGGAGTGCATGCTTGTGGATGTAGTGCCAATCAAGCAGGCTGCTTTGTTCTGGATGGTGTCAAGCTTCTTGAATATTGTTGGGCTGCACTCATCCAGGCAAGTGGGGGGTATTCCATCACACTCCTGACTTGTGCCTTGTAGATGGTAGACTGGCTTTGGGGAGTCCGGAGGTGAGTTACTTGCTGCAGTATTTCTAGCCTCTGACCTGCTCTTGTAGCCACTGTATTTATATGGTGTGTCTAATTGAGTTTTTGGTCAATGATAACACCCAGGATGTTGATAGTGGGGCATTCAGTGAAGGTAACACCATTGAATGTGAAGGGGTGGTGGTTAGATTGTCTCTTATTGGTGATGGTCATAGCCTGGCATTTGTGTGGTGCAAATATTACTTGCCATTTGTCACCCCAAGCCTGGATATTGTCCAGATCTTGTTGCATTTGGACATGGACTGCTTCAGTATCTGAGGAGTCATGAATGGTGCTGAGCATTGTACAATCATCAGTGAGCATCCCCACTTCTGACCTTATAATGGAGGGAAGGTCATTAATGACACAGCTGAAGATGGTTGGGCCGAGGACACTACCCTGAGGAACTCCTGCAGAGATGTCCTGGAGCTGAGATGACTGAACTCCAGCAGCGCCACCTTTTTCCTACATGTCAGTATGACTCTAACCACTGGAAAGTTTGCCCCCGATACCCTTTGATTCCAGTTTTGCAAGGGCTCCTTGATGCCATGCTTGGTTGAATGCAGCCTTGATATCAAGGGCTGTCACTCTCGCCTCACCTCGAGAATTCAGCTCTTTTGTCCATGTTTGAACCAAGGCTGTAATGAGATCAGGAGCTGAGCTGCCCTGGGGGAACCCAAATTGGGCATCACTGAGCAAGTTACTGCTGAGCAGGTGCTGCTTGATAGCACTGTTGATGATACCTTCCATCACTTTACTGATGATCCATAGTAGATTAATGGGGTGGTAATTGGCCAAGTTGGATTTGTTCTTTTAATGTGCAGGACATAGCTGGGCAATTTTGCACATTGTCAGGTAGATGCCAGTGTTGTAACTGTACTGGAGGAGCTTGGCGAGGCGAGTGGCAAGTTTTGGAGCGCAATTTTTTCAGTACTATTGCCGGAATGTTGTTGGGGCCTGTAGCTTTTGCAACCATTTATTCGTATCATGTGGAGTGAATCTAATTGGCTGAAGACTGGTATCTGTAATGCTGGGGACCACTGGAGGAGGCTAAGTTGGATCATCCACTTGGCACTTCTGGCTGAAGATTGCTGTGAGAGTTTCAGCCTTATCTTTTGCACAGATGTACTGGGCTCTTCCATCATTGAAGATGGGAATATTTATGGACCTTCTCCTCCAATGATTTGTTTTAATTGTCCACCACCATTCATGACTGAATGTGGCAGGACTGCGGAGCTTGGATCTGATCCGTTGGTTGATGGGATTGTTTAACTCTGTCTGTCACTTACTGCTTATGCCGTTTGCATTCAAACAGTCCTGTTTGGAGGCTTCACCGGGTTGATACCTTATCTTCAGGTATGTCTGGTGTTGCTCCTGGCATGCCTTCCTGCACCCTCTACCGAACCAGGGTTGATCCCCTGCCTTGATGGTAATGGTTGAGTGGGGAATATGCCAGGTCATGAGGTTATTGATTGTGCTGGAGTACAGTTCTGTTGCTGTTGATGGTCCACAGTGCCTCATGGATGCCCAGTCTTGAGTTGCTAGATCTGTTCAAAGTCTGTCCCATTTAGCACAATGATAAATAACAACACAATGGAAGTTATTTTAATGTGAACGCGGGACTTTGTCTCCACAAGGACTGTGTGGTAGCCACTCTTACTGATATTATCATGGACAGATGGATCTGCAGCTGGCAGATTGGTAAGGATGAGGTCAAGTTTGTTTTTCCCTCTTGGTGGTGATGGAACTAACTGCCGCAGACCCAGTCTAGCAGTATGTCCTAAAGGACCTGACTAGCTCAATTTGTAGTACTGCTGCCGAGCCACTGTTGGTGATTGGATATTAAAATCCCCCACCCAGAGTATATTTTGTGGCCTTGCCATCCTCAGTGCTTCCTCCAAGTGTTGTTCAAGATGGAGGATTACTGATTCATCAGCTGAGGGAGGATGGTATATGGTAATCAGCAGGAGGTATGATTAACCTGAAGCCATGAGACCCCATGGGGTCTGGAGTCAATGTTGGGGACTCCCAGAGCAACTCCCTCCTGACTGTACACCACTGTGCCGCCACCTCTGTTGGGTCTGTCCTGCGGGTGAGACTCTGGCTTTGTTTCGAGGAGCAGAATCGGAGGGAGGAGCAGCTGGAGCACGGTAATATAAATTCAACTTCTCTCTGGCATTCATGGCCTTGTTTCCCAGAGCAGAGTCAGAGGGAGGAGCAGCCGGAGTAACTGAAACCTAACTGGAAAGGTGATGCCACTTCTACAGGTGTACTGAAAGCATACTATTCAAGTGCATAATGGCCTGGCATGGCAACTACTCTGGCCAGGACCGTAAGAAACTACAGAAGGTGGTATGCACAGCCCAGACCATCACAGAAGCCAAGCTTCCATCCATGGACTCTATTTACATGGCTCACAGCTGCAGAAAGATGGCCAACATCATCAAAGACCTATCACACCCTGGTAATGATCTCTTACAACCTCCCATCACGCAGAAGATACAGAAGTTTGAACACACATGCGAACAGGTTCAGGAACAGCTTCTTTCTGGCTGTTATCAGACTGTTGAATGGACTCTAGCCTCAAATAATGTAATCTGCAATGTAACTTATATGCTTCTAAGTCTTTTTGATCTGTACATCCTTTGCTCGCTGTGATCTGCCTGTACTGCTCCTAAACAAAGCTTGTCACTGTATTTTGGTACATGTGACAATAAAATCAATCAAATCAATCACGGGAGAGCTGTGAGCTGATTGGCTGGTAGGAAATGTGCCCTAAATTTAGAAAGGACTCTCCAGAACTATTAAATAAATTAACCAACTGGGATTAACTAACTCATAATTAACTAAGTAGAGATGGCTGGACAGTTGATGTGCTGTAGCTGTATGATGCGGGAGCTGGCAGATCCCATTGCGAGCTGCAGTAATTACATCTGCAGCAATTGTTGGTTGCTGGATGAACTTCGGCTCAGAATTGATGAACAGGACTCTGAGTTTGAAACACTGTGGTACATCCGGGAGGGGGAGAAATACCTGGTCGCTTTGTTTCAGGAGGTGGTGGCACCTGGTAGATTAAGTACTTCAAATTCAGTCAGTGATCAGGTACAGCAGGTTGTGATTGCAAGTGAGGCAGATAAGGGGATCCTGAATTTAGGAACAGAGGAGTCTCCGCTCTTGACCTTGTCTAACAGGTATGAGGTACTTTCTCCCTGTGAGGATGAGGAAAAGGGCCATTGGGACGATGAGCCAACTGACAATTGCACCGTGGTACAGGAGGCCATTCAGGAGAGGGCAGCAAAAGGACCAGTGGTAGTTGTAGGGACTGTATAATTAGGGGGATTAATAACATCCTTTGCGAGCAGAATCGAGAGTCTTGCATAGTGTGCCTGCCTGCCTGGTGTCTGGGCGAGGGACATCTCTGACCGGCTTGAAAGGATATTGGAGCAGGAGGATCCAGTTGTTGTAGTCCATGTTGGGATAAACAACATAGTCAAGGCTAGGAAGGAGGACCTATTTGGGGATTATCAAGCACTAGGAATGAAATTGAGGAACAGGTCCTCAAGGGTTATAATCTCCGGATTACTACCCAAGCCACGTGCTCATTGGCATTGGGATAAGAAAATTAGGGAAGTAAACACGTGGCTGAAGGAGTGGTGTAGGAAAAAGGGTTCCATTTCATGGGGCATTGACATCAGTTTTGAAACAGGAGGGCTCTGTACCATTGGGGCAGTCTCCATCTGAACCGATCTGGACCCAGTGTTCTAGTGAAAAGGATAAATAAGATGGTCACTAGGACTTTAATCTAGTGAAATGGGAGGAAGGGAAGGGGAAAACGACAGGCAATATAATGGTAAATAGAAAAGGAAACCGATTTAACTTCCTTCATAGTTCTCAATGTAGTTAAACACTCCTGCATAAATGTTAAGAGGAGGGAAAACTCGGGAGACATTCTTAGTGGAGATGTTAAAATTCAAAAAGAAGGTATTAAAAGCTAACATAAAGGCACTTTTCGAATGCTACAAGCATTTAGGTAACAAGGTAGATGAGTTAACGGCACAAATTGTTGTGAATGTGTGTGATTTAGTAGCTATTACTGAGACATGTTTGCAGGATGCTCAACTGGGAATTAAATATCCAGGGATATCAGACTATTCGGAAGGACGGACAGAAAAGTAAGGGAGGTGGTGTTGCGCTAGTAGTTAAGGATGACATCAAGGTGGCAGTGAGAGATGATATAGGTTCGATGGAGAATAAGGTTGAATCCATTTGGGTGGAAATTAGAAATTCTGAGAAGAAAAAGTCACTGATAGGCGTAGTCTATAGGCCACCAAATAATAACATCACTCTGGGACGGGCAATAAATAAAGAAATACCTCAATCCTGTAAAAATGATACGGCAATTATCTTGCGGGAATTCAATCTACATGTCAATTGGTTGAACCAGGTTGGTCAAGGCAGCCTTGAGGAGGAGTTCATTGAATGTATCTGTGATAGCTTTCTTGAATAGTATGTAATGGAACCATCATATTGAGCAGACTGGAAACTTGTAAGTGTATAACAAGCTACAGAAGGCTTGAGAAGGAATATAGCTTTTTTTTGGATCGTCATGTATTATAATGTGACATCTATGGAACAAGCATGAATTTGATCAACTATTAGTGAAGAATTGCTCAAGTGTCTACTTTTAAAATTGTAATTTACTTTTTCTTCTCCCTCTAGGTCATGCCTTACATCGTTTCCTCACTGAAAAACTGGGTATATTACCTTCTCTCAGGTGTCTGTCAGTGCTGCTCTACAGTATCGATGCTCGGAGGTGAGCAAGTGATCAGAAAAGGTTTCTTTCATTTTGTCCTCCCTTTCTTGTTTGGGAACTAGTTGGCTTGCACTTGGTGCTTCCTGGTTCTCATTACTTGCCACTGCAACCACCACTGGCATCATATTTTAATGGAAGGTTAAATTTGAATTATTGTAGATACAGAATTGTACAGCAAAGCAAATCTTATTGTTTAGAACTTTCATTTGAAATGGAATGATATCGGATTCTATGAATGAATCAGTTACATCTTGAAAATGAATTGACAAGTTTTAAAGAGAATACAAGGTGTAGAGCTGGACGAACACAGCAGGCCAAGCA